ATCAAAGTGTTGAGCAAGGGGTGAGAGAGAAAAGAGAGCTTGGGAGAGAATAGAGTTCTAAGGGGGTTTTCTTTGTAAACCAAAGTTGTAACTTATTCTTTCATTAGTGAATTTCTCAAGGGGATCACCAAGAGGATGTAGGCAATTGCTGAACCTCTATAAATTCTTGTGTCACTTTGTGCTTGGTTGGTTTCTCAAGTGTGTGTGTGTGTGATTCATCCATCCTTGTGTGTGTCACAAAGTCCATCAACAACAAGATCATTAGGGGAGGGTGAGTTGAGTTTATCAATTTTCACAACACTATTTCCATTCAACCAAGAAGATGACTTTCAAGAAGGTCATTTTCAAAACGTCCAACTTAACTGAAATTGAAACTCAACTTCATTGAATTAAAATGCTAAAGATTGAACCATAGGATTGAAGTTTCCACAAAACCCAATTAGCGACGACACAACACAAGTGGAGGCTGGAGCCCATAGATTCCCATACCCACAACAATATTCAAAACCAAGTTTAAAATATATCAAAAACATACTGAAACTCTATTAAAATGTGAACAAAATTAACAACGGTACTCCAATGTTTAACTAGGGAACTTCCAAAAAGGGAAAAATTAAGGGTCTCTAAAACAAAACTAAATTCATGAACGATAGCTTAAAGTGCAGCACAAATACCATCACCCAAAAAAAAAATTATGTTCAAAGGGATCAACTTTCCTCTTCACAGTAGTATTTCAGTTCTAATTTATAACCCCTACCTTCTTGTATCCTAATATTGGTCCAGACACAGATGAAATTCCTCCATTAACTTATCATCTAATTAGCTAATTAGATGGTGACTTTAGCAATGAGACATATAAATAATTTCCAGAACGTCCAATTTTAATTGAAATTGACATTCAACTTCATTGAATTAATAAGCGAACTATTCAAAATGAGATTTTACCTGAGAGATTAACCGCTGAAACTCGCAGGCCAAAAACCCTCGAACAGGAAGCTCGCAATTTTCCCCTTCCAAGTTCTGGAGACGAATTGATTCCAATTTTTTTTTTAAAATCTAATAAAAAGGTAAAAACGGTTCGTTTTGAATAGGAAAAGAATATGTGAGAGAGAAATCGGATTTTCTTTGTTTGGGCCCAAATATCTAGTTGGACTCAGTAACGAGCCCATTATTTGTTTGCTTTACGAAACACAGACTCTCTTTGTTTATATTTTGGCACTTTTCAATACAAACCCAATTCTAGATGAAAATTTTGAGTATAACCCACGTATTTGAATTGATAAATCCCGGCCTAATTTGCATTTGTTATTTGTTTTTCATGACTATTTTGCCCTTGAAGGTAAATAATAGAAACACATTAAAAGTCCTTGATTTAAAGCATTTGTCACTCTTAAATTTTGAATTCGAATTTAAAACATTTGTAGCTTAAAAAAATCAGAACTCATATAGACCAAATTAAAAAAATTTGGTATTATAAGTACAATGCACATAAGATACATTAATCAAGCTTACCGAAAGGTCCAAATGAAGAACATGAATGACGAAAACACCCACGAGCATAAATATAAAATTGTGTTACCTTATTTATAGGAGGACAACAATTTAGGGTGATAAAATTGTGTTCCTCCTGGTAATGTTCCTCTTGAAATGAAACTAGCTAGAGGTCAGCATAGCCGTGCGTGTTATACTATTTAAATATTTTATTTTTATTTTTATTTTATTTACATTTTTGGGTTGAAAATAGAAACACTGCTAAGCAACCAATTAAACAGAGAACGAAAACCCAATGATCAATGCATTGCTAAATCCAGCACGAATAGAACAAGAAAGAAAAATCAAACCCAATGATCAACGCATTGCTAATATAGTCAGAGTTAAGAAAATCTTTGGGTTGAAAACAGAAACACTGCAAAATAAGCAACCAATTAAACAGAATCCGTCCTTTTCTTGCAATCAGTTCAGTCTATTGACTACTATTGAAGGTTGGAGCCCCACCTTACTCTTCTCCTGGCCCAAAAAGAAACGTGTTCATATGATTCTGTCTAGAGACTCCTCAAAAGAATCTCCAAAACGTGCTGGTTGCCATGCATCGTCCAAAAAATAGACCTTATCTAAGGGCCATAGATAAGGCCCTCACAATATAATGACTCTTGTTGGCAAACGAAATCCACGCCAGACTTCTGGCTCAAATGTTTTGTTTTTAATTATCTTTTTCCTTGTCTTTGTTTTGATTTCATAGTCGTTGGTAGAAATTACCTAGAGGAAGAGTTTGTGTGAATGTATATACCGTGTAATTAGGATACAATTAAAGCTTCTTCATTTTTTCTTTTTCTTTTTTTTGTCGAAAAGTCACCCATTCCGACTTAATCAAGTCAACGATTCAAACTTTCTAGAAACAAAATTGAACAAAATACCATTTGTTTAATGACTTGGTCATTACATTACATGGTAGCAGCAATCAAGTACAAAAAAGACACATGAAGGTTTCGTCCAAAAAAAAAACACATGAAGGAAAAATATTATATATTTATTTGACCGAGTATTTACCAAATCCGTACGTACACACCACAGTGAAGAATATTATTTATAAATTTCATTTCATATTATTAGGAATGCAGTCATATTTCTCCAAGAAGGTGGTCCATATACAAAATTAAATGATTAATCAATTATATTTAATTATTTTACAGAAGAAATGTCATATTCTCTCAGTTTCAACGGAAACAAATAAATAAAATAAAAAAGAAATGTGGCACTCCCAGTAGTTGCTTGATATTTTAGTACTTGTTGTTGGAAATAATAAGATGGACGACTTAGATGTGGGCATACATTACAAGTCTTCATTCGTTCTATTTCTATAAAAAGGCCAGGCTTTCTACCAGTTTCTTTACTTGCAACGTAAACTATACAACTTGTAGTATACGCAGCTACCATAACCATTCATTCCTCTCTCTTTCAATTACTCGTAGGAACTTAGGGCATTAGGCCATGGCCTTACAAGGGAAGGGTAGGCTTATTATGCAATCCTCTTTGGTGATGGTGGTAGTGTTGGTTGCATTAGCAGCTGCAATTACAGCTGAAGCAGCAGCTCAACCCCGTCCAGGGTGCCTAACCCAGTGTGGTAATCTGACCGTGCCATTTCCATTTGGCATGGAGGTAGGTTGTTACAAGGACGATAAGTTTTTTATCAATTGTTCCAGCTCTACCAATCCCCCAACTGCATATTTGATGCAAGGTAATCTCCCTGTTACTGACATATCCCTCGAGGAGGGTGAGATACAAGTAAAGCAGTTTGTTGCCCGAGATTGTTATGATAAGCAGGGCGTGCGAACTAACAGCCTTGACCCTCAGCTCTGGGTGTCTCCTTACACCATATCCAGTACCAAAAACAAGTTCGTGGCCGTTGGTTGCGACACTTATGCTCTATTTAAAGGGTACGGTGCAGACGAAGAAAGGTTCTTCACCGGTTGCATGTCGCTGTGTGACAGCCTCGACAGCGCTGAGAAGGACTCTTGCTCTGGCATCGGGTGTTGCCAAACTTCCATCCCTAGCGGACTCAAAAATCAGACTCTGGAATTGAGTAGCTATTACAATCATACATTTATTAAGGGCTCTAACCCCTGCGGCTACGCCTTTGTTGTGCAAGAGGGCCAGTTCAATTTCTCCCCGGAGACAAGTTTTCAACAACTGAAATCCAATAATATGCTTCCAATGATTCTCAATTGGGAAATTGGGAATGAGTCATGTAGGGCAGCTCAAAAGAGTGTGGATTATCCATGCCATAACAAAACCAAGTGTGTCGACCGGAACACCAATAAGACGTCTGCATCGTCTGGTTACTTTTGCCAGTGCTTGCCTGGATACCAAGGGAACCCTTACCTCCCAGATGGTTGCCAAGGTATATTATATGTACCATCTTTATATACATACCCATATAATATAATACATATATATATGGTTCTATATATATCGTAGAGTCTGAGTTTGACAATATCCTAGTCTCACAACACCACGAGAAAAATTAGTATACTGCAATAAATATGTTTGTGTGTGTGCTAGTTAATTATTGTTGCTCAGAATTGGGGATTCTTCTTAATTGATACATATCTATATATGTGTTTTTCTTATTTCTTTCAGATATTGATGAGTGCGCTTTGAATCCGAACCTTTGTAACAATGGAGTGTGCAAAAATCTAGCTGGAAATTACTCTTGCTCATGTAATAGTGGCTACAAAAACCAGGACGCAATTACCTGCATCAAATCTGCCTCTGCAATTTCATTGAAAATTACGTTGGGTATGTAACCAGCTAGCTATTTTAGATATAAGCGTGCATCCTATATATATATTTTATAGCCAATTAATTAAACACGTTGGCCATACAACACACAAACAGTATATGCTATGCATGGTAAATTATTCATGATTCTGAAACAACATAGTAGGGAAACAAATTTTAAAAAAGAATTTATCCGAATGCATATATATCAAGGCCAAGATATATTACTTGATTTAACTTTTGAAGCTAAAAAAGACACAAGATTTGTTAATACACTACATATTTCTGTTTTTAATTAGAAATATAGTTTTGACATCCGACCCCAGTATACTATAAGAATAACATAAATAATTAAAGGCCAAAACTCACTTTTAGTCCCTGTAGTTAATTTCATATTGCTAGCTGCTATTTACATATAATATGTATTGTAATTAACAGGCATACATGTTATACACTTGTTCATAAATAGGTCAACACGTTTGTCTAAGAAAATGACAATAAGCTGCTTCTATTTGACCAGTAATAATATAATTAAAAATAATAAAAAATTAAATAATCAATTTCATTGTGATAATAGTCCCACGATGTCATATATAAAAAGCAAGTTTGACTTGGATTTTGCAGGTGTCTGTCTGAGCTTCTTAGTTTTACTGGTTTTAGTCTTTTCGATATATTGCGGAGTGAATAGAAGAAAGTTAAAGAAACAACAAGAAAAGTTCTTTAAACAAATTGGGGGCTTACTTTTACGACAACAACTGACTCGATACAATCGATCCATAGAGACAGCCTCAATCTTTTCTAAAGAAGAACTGAAGAAGATGACAGACAATTACGATGAAAAGAGAAAGATTGGTGAAGGAGGGTATGGACTGGTTTACAAAGGTATATTGCCTGCAGATAAAACAGAGGTTGCCATAAAAATGTCCAAAGTCAGTGCCCCAATTACTGACAGCTTGGAGTTTGCTAACGAGGTGATTCTTCTATCTCAAATCAACCATAAAAATGTTGTGAAGCTCCTTGGTTGTTGTTTAGAGACCCAAACACCTATTCTCGTTTACGAGTTCATCTCCAATGGCTCTCTTTATGATCACCTTCATGGAAAAGACAGAAAAGAACAACTTTCGTTGGAAACGCGGTTGAAGATAGCATCAGGTACTGCAGAAGCTCTCTCGTACTTGCATCACTCCATTTCTAATCCAATAATACACCGAGATGTGAAATCAATGAATATACTATTGGACAAGAATTATGTGGCAAAAGTAGCAGACTTTGGGGCTTCACGGTTGGTTCTGGAAGATCAAAATCAACTAGATACTTTAGTGCAAGGGACGATTGGTTACTTGGACCCTGAATATCTTCAGTCAAACATTCTAACAGATAAGAGTGATGTTTATAGCTTTGGAGTTGTCCTGGCGGAGCTACTCACAGGCAAAAAGGCACTAACCAAGAAAAAAAATGAGGCAGAAAACCTAGCAAACGTCTTTGATTGCGCAATGAAAGAGGGCCGGCTAGCTGAAATTCTTGATGCTGACTTAGTTAAGGAGGAACATAATTT